TGAAACGACCCCCAGCACCACCGGTGAGAACTGCGCTGATTGATTTAAAAAAAATCGGAACTGCTCATGCTACTGAAACCATGTTTATCAGAATTATCACAGCATGATAGGCTCCAAACGTTATTTTTTACAGCTTTATGCAGTTTTAACTTACTTCCTTTCTGCAGGTCTGTCTTTTTAAAGGCAAACATAATTAATTGGGGAGAAAACTTTAGAGTGTCACACTACTATGACAACTCTGAAAAGATACTCTAAATCTTCTTCAAAATTTTGCAGAATTGCTCTGCTGAGGTCTGACAGCTATGGGACTGAGGGTGTGAGGTAGTACTGTAGACCTCAATGAAGGTTTGGGAGTTCCATTCCAGCTGTGATGCACCCCACAGGAAGAGAAGTTGGAAGTACCTAGGGGGGCAGCACTAAGCTTCATGATCTCTGGTACAAAGAACAGGGGAACACATCACAAATGCTCTGAGGCAACAGAGCAAGCAGGAGAGCAGATCCCCTCTATAAAACCTTTCTGTGCAGCATTTGTCTAGAACAGGAACACCTTCATTGACTGTGACCAGCAATGTGTATCCTCTTTGAGGAGTCATGGAGCAAGAGGGATTTATGAACATTAACAATACACATGCACACACACACAAAAACAATGCTCTCCTAGCCAGGCCTGGTTCCTCTCTAATTAGGACTCCTCCAAGGCTGCGAATCAGACTGAGAAGAGATTTTTGTACACTTTTATTCTGAGGTCATCTCTGGCAAGCCCCGTTTGGCAGACCACCATGATTGGTTTTATGAATTTCAAACCCAGCAATTTTCAACCAGCGTGGAACATGCTGAGAGCTGTACCTCGTGTGACACTGACGCCCACAGCACTGCAGGGATCTTCCCTTCCCAGTTCCCTGGAAACGCTTGCTTTCCCACTGGGGTTGACCAGAAGAGCATTCCAGTGCTTAACGCCTTCAAGAAATTGACTCCAGCTCAAAGAAGCTTTTAATCTCATTAGTGGGAAGTTTTATTGAACCATATCAAAGCTCACCTGACAAACAAATATACCACATTAACAAAATGCTGATGTCTATTTTGGACTTTGTAATAAATATTCTCACAAAAACTGCAATACACTTATGACTGAATCTGTACTGAGATGCAAGTATTAAAACCCATTGATTTTCTCTTAGCTTACTTGTGTGTGGCATTTTAAAATGCAACAAGTTCAAAGGGAGGTTGCTGGAATTTTTATTATTAATTTTTAAAAATATTAAACACTTTTAATAGATGAAGCGTCTACCTATGCAAAGCATGGAAATGTTGTTATATAACCAGTTAATGTGCTCTCCATTACACCCAAAAGGTATTGTATGTTGGAAGATATGGAGAGAGTACTTTATATGAAATCCTTTTAAAGTAATTATGACAAAACTGTATGTACAGTATGTTGAAAATTAATATCACACCTTGCTCTTTGGGTTTCTCAGGAATTAGCTTCAACTGGCTGTTCAGACTAGCCAAAACCTGCAGGGTGATCCTGCACAACTCAGCTGGGCCCGGCCTGTTGTTGTTAAGGACTCGGTTGTTCAGGAAATAGAGGTAGTTATCCACCTCTTTCAAATAGCAGCCCTGAAGCACCTTTTATCAGCAGCCCAGACAGATTTTTTTTTTATCACTGACAAAGTAGGTTTAAAAAGGGTGGGTGAAGGAAGCATGCCTGAGGTCTTTTTCCATGGCACTCCATTGGAACAAAGCCATGAAGGCATTAGGCTGTTCCCAGATTACAAGACATGACAAGCTGTGGGAGCCCCATCATCTCACCACTCTGAGACCCTCTGTCAGCACACAGCCTGCTCCTGGCTGCTCTGCAGCTCTCAGTGGCCCGGCCCAGCTGAGCCCTCATGGGCTTCTCCTGCACCAGTCTACAACAGCACTCACTCTGCTGTCAGGCCTCTTCACACCCCTCAGCTGTCCTGTCCAATCAGGAAGAGGAGGCAGATTGCATTCCCTCGTGTAGCGGATAGGAACAGAAGGAAATAAAATTGAATTATTTTCTCTTTTACTGAAAAAATGTCATTTGTTTTTAAATCTGGTATCATCTTTGCAAAATGTTGTGCTCTAGAAATTATTTCAATAGAATTTAGGTACAAATGCATCCTGACAAATATGCTGATAGACACTTGAATATTTATAAATGATCATAAATCACTAATATTCACAGGTGACACGATGCAAAAACAGTGGAAACTCACTATGTAAGAACTTGTTGCTTAGAAGATTAGTTAGCCAATTGTGGCAACTGTATCATCAAAACTGTATAAAAACTATGGATCAATTAAATTTAGCACAGATACAAATGCCAGTACATGGGAGACCATTTGCAGGCCTAAATCAAAACCTTAAAATGTGGCTTCAAGGAAGGAACAGTTATAGCTGTGTTTTGGAGAGAAACACCAAAAGTGATACATACCAGAAAGCAATGGATGGGAACAAACTTTGCAAGTGAATTCAGACTTAACAAGAAGGTTCAAAGAGTACTGGATACTACAGTAAATAATGTGGGTCAATTATCTTATAGTGGTTACTGTTATGAACCTCGTAACAAATTCACACAAAACAGCATTGCTGTCAAATGTTAGTCTGTAATGGAAAATCTGTACAAAATACCTCCTCAATATTATTATTGTAGACGACCGCATTACACACTGAAATGGAATTAGGGAAATATCTAAAAAACATAACTTGTTTTTACTTTGTTCGCACCTTGTACAGAATGCTGGTGAAGAATAGATCTGTTGTCAAATGCTCAGGAGCCAAGTGATTCAGAAGAGGTTTCCTCCGGCTGACACAGCTGGAATTCCACCCATGGTGCTATTTAGAAAAATGCACCTAGCACTATCTTTGCATGTTCATTCAGCCATTTATAAACAATGCGCTTTTTTTCCAGACAACTGTGTTTACTCTACAAATTCATATTTTACTGTTCTCAGTGATATCATGCATGGCTTCAACATAAGGCTGTTCATGAGGGAATATGGGGTGGAGGGGTGGCTCTATGGCTGGAAGGTTGTTGGTTCAAATCCCGCAGCCAGTAGAGGAATCCTACCCTGTTGGGCCCCTGTGCAAGGCCCTTAACCCCAACTCCAGGGGTGCCGTACAATGGCAGACCCTGCGCTCTGACCCCAGGCTCTCTCCCTATCTGTGTGTCTGTGTGTCGCATGGAGAGCAAGCTGGGGTAGGTGAAAAGATCATTCCTAATGCAAGAAATTGTAAAGGGTTAATAAAGTGGTGTTATTATTATAATTATCTGTAAATTATAAATCCCTCTTTTTACAAATTGCTCAGTAGCTTCTCTTTGGAAAAGCACATCCACTCATTTCTTTTCTGTGCAGCAGTTGTCAGAGGCCTTGAAGGATCTTAAAAGATCAACAGATTACCAACTGAAAATTCTCAAATATTATTAGTGGGCAGTTTAAAAGTTAGCTGACATATTCAAACAACTTATGAATGAAAAGGGGAAATTGTGGACTGATGAAATCTGGTATAAATACAGATGAGACCATAGGAAAGTCATTACATCATATTGCATATACAGTAAGAACGATCTACTCTAACTGTAACAGCCAAGATCGGTAAATGATTCTCCGTATTGAAAAATTAAATGATGACAAAGTGCGTGCATTAGAGCAGAAAGCACATTTTGTTAATTGTATGGACTCATCAACAGCATCCCCTGCTGGTCTTATTGAAAACCGCACCAGTCAGCAGCTGTGCAAGGTTTCCAAGCAGAAGGGACAGTTAGTCTTACTTTACTGTGTAATGTTTGCTCAGCTTGGTTCTGCATCTGCCAATAATGTGATAAATACTTAAGTTTAATTTATACTGTCCAGCACTAAGTTAAGATATGTAAGATGCTTCCTTTGTTTAACCTGTTAAAGAATCAAATATTCATTCTGCATTAATAAAGCATGGGTCAGCTATCAGTTTTAATGCTCTACAGGTTAAATGTTTATTCAACAACATGGAAATTATCCATAACTATAAACATCACCAAACAGATCTTTACCAGTGTTTTTGTTTTCTACTGCTTTGTAGTATTCTGCCTGAAGTTTATTAGCACTATTAGAAACTTAATGTAAAAAGAAAATTAACATGAAAATGCAGGTGTGCAGTCAGTATTTTCAGAAAAAATAAATTTAGACTTCTATTAGCTTTCAAAAGTGTATGTACAGTATAACAGAAAATGTCAAAAACGGTTACATATTTCTAAATGTAGGATTTTACATCTATGTTCAGTCAACACAGTGGTAATGACATGGACATCCAAAAGCACCTATAAACCAAGGCTTTGAGAAACTACCACTAAATGTCCAATGTAAAAAAATACTGGATAATTAAGTGTTCAGCAAATAAACTACAACTTATATCCTAAATGTAATTAGGTTATCTTTTAAAAATATCGATGTACACCTTCCTTGTTTATTAGAACATTGTTCTGGAAGTTTAAAGCTATGCATGAATATGAAGGTTACTCTATACAATAAAAATCATATTACAGTATATCAAGTATTCATACAATATTAAATGAACAATAAGTTCATGAAAACCGTTAAACAATATTGGAAGAGGAAGGTATTTTCAGTATGTGGGAAAGGAATTATGAATTATAATAAAACAATAAGCACCAAAACACTTTGGCACACAAAGGATGCTTCATTTGATACTGAAACAATAATGATTATGTTCTTTGCATTACAATTGTATCAATAATTGCAAAGCTCTGTATTAAGTAACATTCTTGAATCAAAAATTGAGTCATTTTGTTTTGATATTGTTTACCCTAATGACTAATATATATGGTTGGAAAAGTATGAGAAACTCATTGTGTCAGCTTCCAATGACTCCACATGAGTCACAGATGATAATTCAGTATGATCAAAGTTTTGACAATGGAAATTAACCCATCAGTAGAACCTTTTTAATGCATCAGATACAGATAAAGAATTCAAATGTTGTCTTTTTCTTCTCCTTTAATATATATAAACTGTACACAATGTTGTATGGATGAATATACTGTTTAGTTTTCACAGTCTCCCTACAATTTTAAGGTCATCCATTTCCAAAAGCTCACAAATTTAAACCAACAAAACTAGAATTTGTTTACAGACATAGAATAAGAGTCAAACCAGTATTTATACAGCACATGGGTAATACAGACTCTAACTGCAAATAAATACTTGATAACTTTTACATATTTTAAAAGTAAGAAAGTGATTTCATTATAAATCAGTTGGAATAACTTTAACAAAAGCTACATTCTCCGGCATTGTCTAAAGTCAGGATACACAGCCCTGATTTGCTGTCTCCAGTTTTCATTCAATCCAAACTCTGAATAAGTTAATCATAAATTATTTCCTGAATTTGTGAAATATTTTCCAATCTGAACTCACAGACTATTTAAAAAAAAACCCCACTGAAACAAGAATGCCGACCTCTGCTATCCAACATAAGTACACATAAGAGAAGGCATTATTAAAAAAAATAGACCCCAACCTGCACAAGGCTTGCAACGAGATGACTGATGTTGGGTAACCCCTTTTTACAGTAGTTGCACATGTCAAAGTAGTGCTGCCTAATCTAAATGCACAGATGGCAAATGGTTTTCTATGTGCATGACCTTAAGACTTAAAGTTAAGGCACTTTCATTTTATATTAAGGAATAAATATACAAACACAAAATCAATCTCTCACCTGCCTACAAGAGTTTGAGCTCAAGCTCTAAGGAGATAAGAGCTGAGCAGAAGATAAGTTTTTCCAAGTCATCAGAATCCATGGTTCCTTAGAATGTTATAAAATATTTATGGCCAATAAATATTAGTGTTTTTACCCAAAATGAGAAATAATTAAAGAAAAGTTCTGGTTTAAATTTTTTTGAAACTGTTACATCCAGAATGGTTGATCGAATATCACTATCTTGCATCCATTTCTCGACCTCATATTCAATGAAAGAGGTTCTTGATATGTTTTAATGTAATTACCTACTGATCCAAATGGATGCACAAATGATTGTGAGAAACGTATGGAGGTTACATTGTACAAAGCAGTGGCTTCATATTGCAGTACCTCAATTATCATCAGCTTTTCATTCGGTTCACACCACTTGTTCTGACAATAAGGACACACATTCTCTTAAAAAAAAAACACTGAAGCACAGCTCGGATGGGATTTTCTTCCAAAAACTCATGAACTCTTGATAAGCAAAAGTGGCTGAAGCAGGTATGAACCGTTTGTTTTAGTTACATAACTCCTTCAAGCACATCTTTATTTTTCACCTCAACAATCTGTTTGATTTTAAGTCTGTTTAGATGTGGGCAGGAAGAGAAGCCAAATTCTAAAATAAAATGCCAAAACAGTGGGAGAAAAAAAATCTGATAGGCATATGGCACTGCTACTCACATTTTCTGTTATTTCTGTACATCTTCTGTTATTCACAGCAATAACACAAACACCTTCAGCAAGGACCAAATCTATTTTGATCTTGTTAGTTAAAATGTGAGGTTTAGATGTTAGTACAGAACCTAGGTCTCATGAACAGAGTTTAACACAGAGATCCAATAGTAAGGGCTCATGGAAAAACAAAGACATTTCTAAATTTCCACAGGTTATACTTTAGCAAGCAATATTTATTGCTAGGCTAATTAAATCTTTAAAAATGGTTTTATTGTGCCTCAAACAACAACAAATCATGAACAGTTAATAGGAAGTGCAATTTAAACCACAGAACAGAGAATGAGCTGCCTTTCACAGTTCTGTGCTTTGGTCTAGCAGCATATTGTACCGGTACTAACAAGTGCTCAACAAAAAGAGGTATATGTTCTATCAATGGCAGTACTATAATGAACAATGTATCCTCTAGTGTGGACTTTCACAGCAATGTCTTGTTCAAGATCTCCCACATCATCCTCTTTCTGAAATATGGCATGTGACGCTGTAAGATACAATATAGTAGAAGGAGTTAGTTTACAACAAAATGGAAAAATAACTGTCCCAAAGCCAAACACCACTTGAGAAAACCCCCAAGTACCTGTGTAAATGTGATAGGCCTGCCCTTGGCAATGTAATCAGCATATTTACATGCAAAGACTCCACAGTCACTGTTATTGTGCTGCAGGGGAATCTCCTAGCAGAGTGAAAGAGATATGAATTTAATTGGAAGCCAGACAGGTGTAGCAACCAGATACATAACCCCTTCTCCACATCATACTCACACTTGTCCTAGCACTGGTCACTGTCCACTTGGAAACACTGAGATCTTTGTTTTTCTTGCTTTTGTACTCTTCCTTTAGGTAATGCCTACAAAGAAGCATACACAATTTTTATGGACAATGCTCCATTGAGAACATATTTCACACAAAAATACACCTCAGAATTACTTTCAGCACACCCAATAGCATACTGCCAAGTGAAAGAATCTTTAATCAACCCCCCAAAAAGTGAACATTGCAAGGTTACACATAATAAAGGAAGACAATGTCATGGCTACATTACTAAAAATGTATTATTACAGTAATAACTACTGTGAAACCAACTCAAGATGATGCTGCACTTACAGTAGAATATGGCAAATGTCTTCATTACTTTGGCCCACTGAGTCATAGTATTTCACAGTCTTCACTCTGAAGTCTATAACCTTAAAAATTGAATACAAAAGGATAAATATTTTGACTGTTACAAGATAATACACTTCAGTTTCAGCTTTGTATTAAAATTTCATGCCTTTCATGTCTGCCCTGAGTTTGGAATACAAAAGTCTAACAATACAAAAAAAAAACTCCATCTCACTGCAAATATAAACAAAATGTCTTCATGTTTTCTTCAGTAAACACATCTCAGAAAACATTCAAAATTAAGTAAAAGATCCATTTGGTCCAACTATTACCTAAACATTCAAAGAATTTTAAAACTAAACAACTGCATGAAGACCATTTAGAGCTTTGAACTGAAAACTAGGGACAAAACTACTAATATTTATGAAAGAACTGGCTGAGCAGCAGTGACATGGTGGTTCATGCTGCTGCCTTAAAGTTCTTGGTTCCCTGAGTTTTGACACATGACAGTGGCACCTTCTGCACAGAGGTTACATGTTCTTCCTGCGGTTGTGTGGGCTTTTGACTACCTGCTCCAATATCCTTCCACTCTCCAAAGGCACAGTTTAGAATGCCAGTATGGCTTTCTCTGTGCCCCTGTGATGGACTTGTGTGCAATTCTAGCCATAAGCTGTCATGTGCTTAGTCCCATTTTGCACCGTATGTTTCTAGTATTGTCCCTAGATCCCAAAAAACACTTAATAGGAAAAGCAGCTTTCTGATACTGGTTGAATGGATGGAAATGGATGAAATGTGCTAAGATGTTGGATTATACTGTTAACAATATCAATACATAATAAAGACTAAACTTACAGCTAAAGACCAATGAACTCCCAAATGCAAAGGCACCAACACAATGTCCTTCTGAAACAAGTCAACTGTTTTGGTCCAGCGGCGCACTGCTTCGTGTCCTCCAGTGTACAGTTTGGGGAAAAAGAAGGTACTGAAGGCATAGACTTTCAAGGGACCTTCTCGGTCACTGCGTGCCATCACAAGGTTCATGTAGAAATTGATTACCTGAAAAAATGCACTATTACTTAATACAATGTGAGTGGGGGTGTTCACCTTTAGTCAACATTACTTTTAAAGGTTCTTTAAACTCCAGAGTAAGGGATTAAATGCAACACACACAAGACAATACAGTAGCTCTTTATCCTACTTTCAATGGTAGCAGTTGCTTAATTTTGGCATACGATCATTTTTTTATTGCTCCTTTCATCAGCTTAGTGATTTTCGAGGCACTGTTTCACAGAAAGAAATGTGTTATATCCCCTGTATATCAATGGCAAATCAAAAAACAAATCTGATATGAAGTGAATCAGTTGCTCTTTTTCATCATTATAATATACAGTAAACTGATTAAATGTATAAGTAGTGTTATAACAGCTTTAAAGTACAGAATAACAATCATGTTAAGAATAACTGTTGAATGCCCTATGTATGTGTAGTTTATACAGTGTATAGTACGAATGGCAAAATGCAGGACTCCAAGTAAAGAGTTTACTATTTTCTCAAATATTGTTTCCAGAATTGTCCTTTAAAAAGTTGGAGACCAACATGGATCTCTTAAAATGTGTTAATTGCCAGACATGTTTTTCCTTTTCAGTTAGGATTATTTTTAGGGTTAAAGCTCAATCAACACCAACTTTCTTATAACGCATCTAATTCAAATCA